TGCCACATTTGTGAAGCGAATCAGTGCAGTTGTTAAATTAGTCAAAAGGTTGTTAAGTGAATCTGGCTTCCCCATTGACTTTGCTTGTCAGAAGGTCACAAAAGTGGATGAAATGACTCCGGGACGCTGCGACCGTCATCAATAATGTAAACCAGTTGTCAAGCATCTGAATGTAAATCACGGGACCATGGACATGCTGCAATGGTCATAAATCACCTTTTTCACTGCTGTTGTAACTTTGAATAGCTGTAAGTCAAGGACTACCTGTACTTATCACTTTGGCCTATGGAAGCTTTGATTTCCCCTCCCCCCTTGTTTTTGAATACTGCATACAAATTTCCTGTATTTTCTGGTTGTATTCTGATAAGGAGACTGAGACATCGCAGTCTTCCCAAGATCATGAAGCAGACTCCTCGTCCCGATAAAACTTCTTTTATTTAGGTTAAAGTGAATTTCTCTCCAGCAAAGTATTGGCAAACAGTCTTCCATGAAATTTCATTACAGATTTTTATCAGGCTTGGAGAACTGCAAGGCCGATATCTTCCATGCCACACTGTAGCAGCAATTACTGGCAAGAAGTCAGGAATAGCTCTTCACCCTAATGAGTTGAACTAATTGTCTCCTGCAAACTCCTCTCCCCTTTCGCTCCTCTTTATTCTCTATGGGAGGGGCCATTCACCATCCACCTGTGCCTTCACTCCCGTGTTGGCCCTTGTTCCTTAACTGTTCCCTTCTTCTGACAGCTCTGTGCATGGTCACATCAGGAACAGGCTCCAGCTGTTCTTCTGCCCCACTGATCTCCAACTCCGAGGGCAGCTGATAACTGTCAGACGGCCCTGGATCCATCTCTGCCTCCAACTCATCATTAGAAGCTTCCCCAGACTCCAGGACTGGCCCATGTTCCTCCCCAACCTCCTCACGGTCTGAGTCTGCCATCAGACTCAGCTGGCCACTGGCAACAACATCATTAAATATATGGTCATTATACATTTGCTCCAACAAATCTAACAGCAGCCTAAGACTTTTGCACAGTATTGTAGGTGTGCGTACATCAATTCATTCATATTGCGAATACTTACATGAATAGCCAATACCGGCAGATCAATGTAGTTAAGAAGTTCATAGTGGTACTTCACGGACATACAGGAAGAGAAGAACACCATTAACTTCTTCTTCCGATTCTTCTTCAGGAAAGTGAACAGCAGGAGGAATCTCTTTTCTGAAGGGCATATTACATATCCCTGTAGTTGTTTGAAAAGTATTATTTTTAAAATATATGACTTCCCAAACTGCGAATTTCTAATGGCTTCAAAATAAAGATGCAAGTATAAGTTTTAATTTAACTATCTGTACAGTAGGCAATAATTTATTAATGAAGGAATGTGAAAATCCAGAAATGTAAGTATATAGTCAGCAGTTATCTATCAAGCCCGATAAGGAATTCATGAACATTTTTAAAGAGAAATTAATAGAATGTGAAGAGCTAGAGTTAGGGGAGAAAATATCCTTGTGCTTGGATACAAATCTCGAAATGGGAAAGAAAGGGCCAAGGAAGAAAATTCCAAAGAAAGAATAGAATTAAATGTCAGAATTACTATTGAATTCAATGTTAAGAGCAATATGGTTTGCCAAGATATCTGTGCTTAAATTACCTGCTCAAGACCTTCTACAGTTGCTGTCTCTTTATTGTCATCAACCCCAACATACAATGGCTCCTTTTTTAGAGAAATCCTTGCCAGATCTTCAACTTTACGGGTTTGTGTAGCAGAGAACAGCATGGTTTGTCTACGCTCTGGCAGGGAAAGGGATGAAATTAAACATACTGTGACAAGGTAACAAAGTAGAACAATCCAGCTGATTATACGCCTTAGAATCCCTTTAAAAAAAAATAGTGCCTCACAAGCTTTTACAATAAAAAATAAAAGAAACAAAATGGCAGTGTTATACATACACACCGTATTTCCCCGAAAATAAAACAGGGTCTTATTTTCTTTTGACCCCCAAAATAAGCGCTTGGCCTTATTTTCAGGGAGGCTGTATTACTTTTGAGGAGCAGGTGGCAAGCATGGTCATCTCATGGCTTCTGCTGTGTTGCAAGATTTTCAGAGAAGGCTTATTTTTGTGGGAGGGCTTATTTTAGCGCATGCACTCAAAAGCCCGATTGGGCTTATTATCTGGGGAAGGTCTTATTTTCAGGTAAACAGGGTATATCCAAATCTTCCAAATCTTTATAAATGTGTTTTTTTTCAAGCTACCCTAAATTTTTTCAAGCTATCCTAAATTTGGATCATCCTCAATTTTTTCAAGTTATCCTAAATTGGGAGTAATGTCCACTGAACGGAGAAGGATTTTCTTTAGTAAATATGAATATAGCACTGTAAAAGGTATTAATCAACCAAACATTTAAGATCTACATAGCTTGTAGAGTGCTTAAAGGGAATTGTAGGCATTAGTACAGCAGACACAAAAAATAGGATTTACAAAAGTGGAAACAGGACTACTGCATAAATTTTGAAGTATCACAGAATACAGACAGCATAAATATCTGACTTACTTGGTAGAAGCTTTATGATCTGTTTCATTTCTTCTTCAAACCCAACTTCTAGAATTCTATCAGCTTCATCAATTATCAGACACTGCAGGTTCTTATACAAAAATCCTGGAGTATTCTGAAACACATCCAACAATGGTGTCAACCACACACATGGACAAAAGAGAGGAAGTGCATGATGCAATACTATCTGTTTTACCTGCAAATGGTCCAGAAGCCTGCCTGGAGTTGCGACAATGATGTTTATGCCATTTCCAAGTTTTTGTACCTCAACTGATCTATTACTGCCCCCCATTATCAAGCCATAGGTGTGGACATGATGCATCATCAGTTCTTTGAGAACACCGTAAGTCTGCATGGCAAGTTCTCGAGTTGGTGAGAGGATGAGGACACCGGTTCCTAAAACGAAGAAGGGAAATAAGAGATGTCTAGAGAGTTTCTAATCGATAATGACAAACCTATCTTGTTGCCTGTCTATCATCTTAGTGTAATTAAACAATCTAAACTCTTGGCAGCAAAAAAAAAAAAAAAAAAAACTGTACAAAAAATACAGCAGTTCATTTAGTGGCCATTTGATGACATTGAAAAATGTGACTTAGGGCCATTTTTCACGCACGTGACCATTGCAGTACCCCCATGGCCATGTGATTCACATTTGGGTGCTTGACAACTGGTTCATATTTGTGATGGTTAAAGTGCCCTAGGGTCATGTGATCACCCCCTTTGCAACCTTCTGACAAGCAAAAACAATGGTGAAGCCAGATTCACGTAACCATAGTGTTACTAATTTAACAACTTCAGTTAACAAATGTGGCAAGAAAACTTGTAAAATGGGGCAAAATTCACTTAACAATATAAATTTTGGGCTCAATTGGGGTTGTACGTTGGGGACTATCTGTAATATAACCCCATGATGATTTTAAAACCAGCTAACAACAGATGAAGTCATACACCAAATGTCCTTCAAGAGAGTTCCATTGTCAGCTAATTCTGGAAAGCAGACAATGCCGGCACCAATTGAACCTCTAATGGGAGGCCACTCCAGGCTACACCAACTATGGAAAATCAACTCTCCTGGGATTCAGCCCAGCTAATTGGTCAGAGTGGCCAGTTGGTAATTCTACAAGACATACTTTATTCAAAGAAAATTAGGAGAGATGGGCTTCTGGGTGATAACTTGCTGACACAACAAGAGAGAATTACGTACACTTTTCCTTTCATATTGCCACAGAGTTGGCCCAAACCTGGGCATATTAGCTGTGCTTAGTCAGATTTAGTCTTCATTGCCCTCCATTTGTATACCAGGCATTGCTTCTGCCACTTCACCTTCCATTTTCCATTAACCAAGGGATCACCCAGAGTGGCCAAACAGTCAGGAGCAATTTTGTCAGGGGCCTGAGACACTGCTTCTTGCCAGTGATGGATCAAACGCCAAATTCAACCTCTACTCATGTCAGGGAAATACCTAGGAAAATCATTTTGATCCATAAAATGCCTAAGATGGGTCAAATGAATGAGTCAAGCCCTGCAGAGGAGAAGGGCCCAGTCAACTGCATTTGGACCAGGAAGCGACCTGACCGTGACATAGAAAATACAATAATACTGTATTCTCAAACATCCCAATTGCTATCTCCCNTGTAAACCGCTTAGAGAGGACTGAAAGCTCTATGAAGCAGTATATAAGTCTAACTGCTATTGCTATAGTTCTTAAATAGTAATAAAAATTTCACAAACTGACAATAAGCAGTAATATGACTGCTTGGCTAAAATTATTCATTGGAAATTGCCAGAGGTTTGGATTTGAATGTAGTAAAAATTACTTGGGCCATCAAGGTGAGAAGGTTTTGGAAAATGAGTGGGTTAAGATCTTATGGGACTTTTAAGATCCAAACACATAGGCATAATTGTAGAGCAGTAACTGGAAAGAAGAAAATCTGGTTCATTGACCTTGCTATTCTGGGTGATGCTAGGATTGAGGATTGGAAATAGGAAAAAAATATATGAAATATTAAGACAAAAACCTGGATTGAAACTGCCCCTTTTCTTAAAACACCATTTTAATAATTCTTAGATCTTTGAATCATTTTAGTCCCACAATCTTAGTCTATGAATCTAACTATATATTACTCATAATAATATATTATTAAATAATATAATATTAAATTGCTATTGTGCCAAATTCCCAGCAACTCATATAAACAGCTCTTCCTTTAAGCATGACCGCCAGCTTACCAGTGTTGTGCTATGGCAGCAATTTCAAAAGGCAAATTCTTCCAAATAAGCCAGGTATATAAGCAAGATATAAATGCATTTTCAACAGAAGTGGAAGCATGTATAAGAGATTTAAGAAAGCACTTACAAATCAGAACTGGTAACTTTGAATGCGTAGCCCAGATGCTAAATCAACATTTGCTATCTTTCTGATTGTAACCATTTAACTCACACAAAGTACAAGCTTTCCCAATGTATTTATTTTATGACTTTCAAAGTATGATTTTTATATAATTGCAAAATAATAGTCCTTTCTGCTTCAAACTTCCTTTACTATTTACAAAACATCATTCTGAAGGCATCACTAGATCTAAGAAGACAAAACGTTTCAGGTGTAAGTATAATCCTAGTAGCCAAACTTTGACTTAGAAGTAAGATCATCCCAATAAAAATCTTTACAGTAGAAAAATCATGTTTTAAAAACCACTACATAGTTTATAGTCAAATTCCAGAATATGCCCAATATTTCAAACAGTTTGTAGAAGAAAAGTAAAAAGAACCAAATAATATACTATACACTGTGATCATGAGATCTGCTTTTGGGAGATTTCTAGGCAACCAGAAAGCTTTGATTACACTGGTACCTGCACTGCAAAGAAGCTATGAATTAGCTTATATCATCTGGAGTACAGGATTAGATCCCATTGTACAACTATTCATGGAACAGCTGGGGAAACAACATACAGGATTCTTCCACATTAAGATGATGATTAGAATGGACCAGATCATGTTGAAATATTGAGCTTTAATTTGAAATCTGTATATACAATCTGTAAATATAATTCTGTCCCCAAATGAATAAGATTGTACATTGGTTGAAAAGTAATATGGCCATTTCTGTCAACACGGAATAAAGCAATTCAGCGGGAAAATTGTCTGTTGTCGGATTTTTTCTTGTTAATATGCTTGAAGATTTTGGATTTCTGAACATTCTTTGCCTTCTGGTAGCCAAAGCCACCTCCTCCGCCTCTTTTTTGCAGTCTCTTTCCATGGCTACTGTTTACATCTGAAGAGTATGTTAAGGAACATAGGCTCCCAAAAAAAAAAAAAGTGCACTGGATAAAAGCTAAGACTTTAAAAAACATGTCACCAAAAGTGGAAGGTGCTCTTAATTTCTACAATATATTTGCAATTCATTCCTACCTATAGATAGACTTGGCTGCTTATTATTGGTCTTAGTTTTCCCACTGGTTTTCCTACAGACAGTTAATTTTGGTACCATCATTAAATGTCGAAATGAACTTCTAGAGCATGGGTGTCAAACTTGATTGTGTCACATGATATATCATGATGCATTGGTGTTTTTTGCCTTTGTGGAGCCAGGGTGGGTGTGGCCTGCATGTGATGCATCTGGCCCACAGGCCGCCAGTTTGACAGGCCTGTCAAACACAAGTCACAAGTCTTTCACTTAAGCACAACATTAGTTTGCTGGCAACACATTAGTGGTTCAAAAGAGGACAAAGAAGTAGTTGATTCAAGACCAGCTTTCCTTAACTATGGAACTTTCCAGATACATTGGATTTTTGCTCCCATCATTGACTGTTAGCTTATATCAAAGGTTATTAGATGTCTAAGCAGCCCCTGCCCACAACAGGTAGAAAAATACAGTAGTTAACATGTAAGATCTCTACAATAACAGCAGTCAAGCATCACAACAAATGATATTATCTTTATGACACAAATGAGTAAGTGTGCATCTAAAGCTTGTTTTTCCTCACATCTAACCAGGATAGGGAAAAAAATCTTATAGTTTACTAGTACCTCACTAACTTTTAAATGATTTATTAACATCAACAATTGCTACCAAGCCGCTCAAGCAAGCACATTATTGAGTGAGGGGGAAAAATGGAAACAGAGAGAACGAGGGAGGAAAAGTAATTTAACTTGTAGTGAAAGGATACTGAGATCTACAAATGGCGGGACCTTAAAGCCAAAGGACAAAGCAACCTTGATCAAATCCAAGTTATGGACATTGTAGATCTGCTTCAAAGAGTGGGAATCATAAGCTCTTATATAGGCTTTGTATGCTTCTTGGGCTGATTTGTGGAGGAAGTAGTTCTTCTCAATCAATTTTTCCAGCTGAAAATTTATAAATAAAGAGGCATAAAAAACTGTATTTTTTACTTCATAGTCATGAACAATTTATAGGAAGGTAACATTTACCCAAACAGAAAAACATGCACTCCACTCTAAAATTCATGGTACCGAAACATATCTTGTGTCTTTATGGATATAGAATAATATTTTTGTTATTATTTCAAATATCAGAGTAGCTACTACCAGTATACCAAGATCATAGTTAGGAAAAGACCACTCCTCAACCATAAAGTACTTGATTTGCTTGCGAGCAACTTCCAAATAGATGAGGCTGGAGAAATTCTTGCCTAAAATTCTGCAGAACACTCTTAAGCCATCACAGATAATTGCAACCATCTTACTATAAAGCAACTTACTTTAGTTCCTTGAATTTAAACATTCTCATCTCAATCTTTCACACTTACTAAAACAATCACAATTTATTGCCACAACTTGATTCTTCTCCATGAGTACATGCAACATCTTAGAAGTGGACTTTTTAAAAATATAATTAGAATTGGCCTTGCTCTCCATCTATCCCTCCTATACCAATCTGCATCCCTGAGAATTGTTCTAAAAAAAACAATCACAAATCCAAATGCTTATACATACATTCATGTTTAAGGCTCAGTTCTTACATCCAGAGGACATAATTTGGGTATCTTGTGTCAAAGCTGCACAGATGGCAATTTTAGAAAATAAGTCAATTCTTATTCACTCCTAACAAGAAATTTCATACTGCCCGATTTAATCAGATGTTTGGATCTGTACTATTACATTTCACAAGAATAGCAAAATAAAACCACTACAAATCTTTTGTTGTTTTTGGCATCATTGAACTGCTTTTGAATATTTTATTAGCTATACAAATGAAAAAAAAGCTTGTTTTTAAAATATTCATAGTATAGTCTATATTTACCTGAGATTGAATGTCAGAAATTTTAGACCAAGAAAATTCAAATTCACTTAATGGCACCTAAAAATATAAAGATAAGTTCTCAACAAAAATTCTATATAGTGAATGTAATATCTACACAAGTTATTAAGAATATAATACATTTCACCACATCTAAACTTAGATCTTCTAAACATTGGCTGGATGTATACATGTCGCTAAACTAGATTTTTTAAACTCCTAATCTATTGAAAATCTAATGGCTTCCTTCGGACAGGAAATTTAATAACAACAACAACAACAACATTTTTTAAAATAAATAAATAAATGTGATGTGGTATGTTCTATGTGTGAACCCAATCACTCTGATTTATAGGTTCATATGTGAAGCATTAGACATTTGCAAAAAACTTCATGTTTTAATACAAAGTGCACAACCAAACTGGATCAATATTGTGCTTGCACAAAGATCAATCCCCCTGCAATTCTCATTCTCCTATTCTAGCCAATTTAGAGTACCATAAAGAAGTTATATAGCAAATGTTTTATACGGTCGACCAAGTTCTACCAGAAAACGTTTCAGAAAAAAACCCTCAGTTTTAAACATCCACTAAGGAGAAGCTATTTTAGCAACCGTGGCCATTTTAGATTCTACATCCAATCTATCACTGGACAATTATGCCAATTCTTCCAGGACCACTGTGCCATTCCCATATTTTAATGTCCCTGCAAACTGTCTTAGAATGAGAAAACAAGCTTACATGAATGTCTGCAGCTCATTCTCAACAAGTGAAGCACTAATTTCCCTCCCCAGTACTATTGTCCCATTTAGGGTACTGAATAGAGGGAGGTTTCTGTTTTTAAAAAAGGCAGAAGATGGCCATTTTGATGTTATAGATAGCTAGTCCTCTTTGTCCTAGATACTAGCAACCATATGAAACCTGAATTCACAACCACAGCATCCAATTAGTACAACTTCTTATTCTAAGGTAATTTGGATTAAAACTGCTCCATTCTTTTATATTCCATATTACACAGTTCTGCTATTCCAGCTGCCTTGAACTTCTAGTGAAGTTACATGATTAAATATTAAACATGAAGAGACTCATATTACTGGAGGGGGGGGGGGAGGAGACTAATCACTGCAGCTACCAGTACAACGCTACAGTACTCCATAGAAACTTACCCTGGCTTGCTTAAGGTAACGCAGGAATCCCAGTTCTTCTGGCCTTAAAATGAGCAGGGCATGTCCCCTTCCATTGATTCCACGGGCTGTTCTCCCAACACGATGAATATATTCCTTTTATTAGTGGGAATTAATAAGAGTATTAACTAACATTTTGGTTTCATATTGATAATCATGAAAGCATAGCACGGAAGATCATGCCAATTTATCAAGTCCCCTATTTGTATTTAATATACTTTATAAATTGCATACTAATAAAGCAAACAGCCTGGAGGTTTTAAATCAGCAGACTCATTTTGATGGTATTATTTTTGATTGGCAGCATTTGTTTCAACAATAGCTAAATTCAGGAGTTGGCTAAGGCACTCTAGCATCCTAGAACCTATCACTAATATGAGTTCATTCTTTTGTTTTCCTTAAAGACAGTGCCACTTACCTACATAGCTGCCTATCCAGGCACCCAACTGCAATGGCTCAGTCCTTGGAGCAGTGGTGGGATATGACCGGTACACCCCGGTACAGGCGTACCGGTACCTACTGGGAGCACCAGGTACCGTTCCGGAATGATGCGCCGGAGGGCGCACCCGCTCTGCTTACCTCTATTTGAGCCAATTGGGGCATTCGCACACGGAGCCTGTGTGACGCTCCGAGCAGCTGGAGCGTTGTGGGTGGTGGGTACGCATGTGCGCGCTGCGTGTGTGCACATGGTGGGCACCCAGCCCCGTTGCAGCGTACCGGTTGCAACGGGATTCAGAACCCACCACTGCCTTAGACCAACACTGAAGCCATTTACAAAGCTAAAACAGTGTGTCCAAGATACAAATGGGATACACAAGTAATAAATAAAATAAATACATAAAAATAGGAACATGTTAAATTCAGCTTTGCTGGAATTAATTAAAAATAAACTATCCCAGACTACTCTAATTTCCAATTTTAATATCACACGTAAAAGTTGCATTAATGCATATTTAAAGTATACGGCTTTTGAGAATATGCAATACCTTTGGGTCATCTGGTGGGTCATATTGAACTATCCAGTCAACCTCTGGAATGTCCAGCCCGCGAGCAGCGACATCTGTGCATAAGAGTATTCCAGAATCCGCATTGCAGAACTGGAAAAATGTGGTTGTGCGTTTAGTCTGTTTCTGTTTGCCCTAGGAAAAAAAGACATGCAAGATAAGGAAGTGGTAAGCAACTGAAAAAAAAATAACTAAAACTGCTATACCAACCAATGGCAACAGGAAAAGGTTGCTAATGAGATATACTGGTTGAGTAAGACAACAAACTCCCATTGTTCTGTTGTGGTAATTTTGTGCTTTGATTTGTTTTAAAGCGGGGGGGGGGGGATCAACCCAAAATGTCCAAGTTCTTGTCTGAGAAAAGGGCAAAACCACATTTTACACACCTCTAAGGTATATTAGCAGTCTTTCTTTTACCATATTTGTAATTCCTTCCACAGAGGTAATACCTAGATTTCCATAAAAATGGCTTAGAGTTCATTTATGAAACTAAAAAAGTGCAAACAAATATATTTTTTTCTTTTTATGCTAATACGTATGGAATCAATGGATGTTTCCATTCTTCTACACATGGTGCAGTAGAAGCAAATGTCATATACCAACTGGAGCCATTTAAACTAGTTTGCTGACAGCAAACACTATTCTAACAAACAACTTCAACCTTGCTGACAGAACCCTGTTTTTCAGATAAGCACTTTAAAGACAGCTTTAAGAGAAAGATGCTCTAAATGGCATTTAAAGGTTAATTTATGACTCCGCTGCTGAAATCTTGCTGAGAATCTGACATTGTTGTTATGCACCCCAACCTTCATAAAGGCCACTTGCTATTTGCAATAACCTCAAAGCAGCCTGCATTATTCAAGCTTGAAAGACAGTTTGAGACACCCAACTAAGGCACAAAAGTGGATCTTCACTGCAACACAGGAGCAGAAGAAAAGCCTCTGGATTTATAATGCCCTAAAACTCTCATAAATCTAAGAACACAAATCAGTCAACATTGACACTTAGCTGGTCAGAAATAAAATTGGCAAATTAGTTGACCGTCAGATGGTTCAAGTGCTTATAAAGTTACAACAACAAAAGGGCTGGAGGTCACAAAGGTTTTCTGGAGAAGAAACAGTCCAGTGGTGGGATTCAAATAATTTAATAACCGGTTCTCTGCCCTAATGACCATCTGGGTAGGTGGGGCTCGGTGGTCATGTGACTGGGTGGGCGTGGCCAACCCAATGTCACTCACGTCGATGGGCGCGTCGCCTTAGCTGTTACAATGTAATAAGGGTTAACCGGAGAGGCAGTTTCTGTAAGCAGGTCAATAAAGATTAGGCTAGAAACAACACCAGAATGTTTCCTTCCTGCCTTCCTTACAGAATTAGCGCTATAAAGTAGAAAAAACAAAACGAGGTTTCTTCCAACAACTGGTTCTCTGAATGGCTTAGAAAGTTAACAACTGGTTCGCCTGAATAGGTGCGAATTGACTGAATCCCACCAATGGTCTTCAGCAATGGTAGGTTTCAAAAATTTTTAGAACCTCTTCTGTAGGTAGGGCCTGCT